TTAACATTTATATGCTCTAAGTAATGCGCGAGGGTCATCATTAGCCGCGTCACATGGGATTATTTCCCATCAATCCCTTTTGATCTCCGGCCAAAACCTTGCCGCCGACAACTCTCCGGTTGCCGGAAAATTGCCGAAAAATTCCAGAAATTAAATTAGGCCTTAAAAAATTCCGGAAAAATTCCGAAAAATTTCTAAAAAATCCCAGAAAATTCCTGAAGCCTAATTTAACCCTCTTGGACCTTTTTGAAGCTTCATAGCATCCTTTGACGAAGATTACATGGCTTTAAAAATATTTACAATTTGAAATACAATGGAAAAAATTAAATTATATCATTGAACTTTCAAACGGCTAAATCAAAGTCTTAATTACATTCATCCAAAGATAAAATTACATTAATTTAACCTATAAGCTTCATCCATGGCCCAACCATATATCATTATTCATTCACAATTATTCATACATCATCATGTATCAATATATATCAACATATTAAATCATACATCAACATACATCAATAAAAATATATATGAATATAATTTTGGATCTATGAATGATGATTTTCATAAAATCATGTTCTCTAGTAATGAATCAAACCATGCTCTGATACCACTGTCGGGAAACGTGCTAGTTTTAAAAACTTTTCGAGGGATTTAAATTCATAGATCTTGATTCATTACATAGAGACAAGTTTTATGCAAAAATAAAACATGATGTATCATTCAATTAAAAGATTGAATACTTACATCAAGGTTTGAGTAAACCTTAGATCTCTCCTCTAAAGTGAATGTTCTCACTTATTGTAGATCCCTTAGCAAGATGCATTCTCTTGGATTTCCATCTTCTTGTTAATTGTTTTGTCTTTAGGAATCACTCATATGCCTCCATGAATGACTTTGGAAAATTAGGCTTGTGGGAGCCTCCATTAGATGAGAACATAAACCCTAATTTTCTAGAGAGAGAAAATATATTCCTTTTTTCTTCTACTAAAAATCACACCTAAAATATACATAGACCATGTATATTTATAGGCAACATAAAGGTAAAGAAAAGGAAACAACTAATCCTTCTCAATCTCTAATTCACATGTCTCAAATCTAATATGATTCCAATATCAAGTTGGGTTATGAGTGAGAATCCATTGAGCCTATTATTTTATTGGCTACAATGAATTAATAATTGGCCCGGTCCATGGACCCAATTCAATTAATTCATAAATTAATTTTTACTCCACTAAAAGAAATTAATTGAACTCCAATTAAATAATAAATAACCTCTAAGTCAATATTGCACTTTGACCCCTCTATGCATAATTAGTTATCGGATAAATAAAGCCATCAATCCGACTACTTAATTAATATATTTATTTTGGTACCTTTGATTATTTCTAGTTCGATCACAATAAAACATTTGTTTGACAAAAATAATAATTTAAATAAATAAATATATAATAAATCATTTTGTCTAAAAATACACGAAGGCCTTCGAATTTACTTTGTGATCGACCATAATCAATACAAAATAAATACAAGTAGCAATGATGCAAATATTGAAAATATAACCCTCTAATTATTAATTACATAACTACCCAAAAAGTCGGTCTAAGGATCCCGAAGAATCCGCCGAACAAATCAAAGTAATTATTAATTAATAAAAAAGTCTATAATTTTCTCATACTTAAGAGTCAAATGCTATGACGGTGATAGGGAGCAATTGCATACGACGGCTCTCGCAATATATCTCAACCTAACGCGGATCCAATTCAAATCTTAATTAATTATGAGTCCATCCATAATTACCGACTATGAACCATTTATGATTACTATTTATATATCATGCATTGATTGGCATCACAAACATATATATAAATATCTCTTGTAATCAAATGAACACTATCAATTCTATAATGAATCGAAATATAATACATTGAATTCACCAATTGTATAAAACATAAATATTTCATAAACGTCAGGAACATATGTCACTTTAATCCAAACAGGAATTTGCTATGCCAGGGCATATAAATCCCAACAAACTGAACCGAGAGCTCAACTTCGAGCTTTAGCGTTGGCGTGCAACAGTTCCGGTGAGTCTTGGATGACCCATTTTGGGTGTGCTCAAAGCCGAGATGATGGAGTTTTGGAGCTGAGACAGTAAATTTTCAAAGGGGCAGTTTGGGAATCAAAATACAATCTACAGTAGATTTCCATGTTCACTTTTGATAAAACTCCATCACTTTGGAAAGAGTGGACTTTGACTTCATCATTTTGGCATGGCAGTAAACCTTGAAAACTCCATTTTTTAGGAATTATCCCTTATTTATATTTGGCAGTAGATGCCTAGACAATATCAAATAATGGGGTTATCCTGCTAATAGTGATAATATATATTCCCCGCCGGAGTTATATTATCACAGTATTAGTATTCGGATTTGTCATGCTATGTGGTTTGAGGGATCCACGAAGTTTATAAATGCATGAATATATTAATTCACCATGTATGTATGGATGCATTTTTTAGATTCATCATGTTAAATCCATTCAACCCACTTGCAATCATTCTCAAGGAGAATAAATGAACTATACTTGGATTGAAAACGTAACTTGGACATTATACGTACTGCTGAAGGGCACAAGTCAGTGCTTACCATAGACTGTCTTGATGTTCCTGAGTATGGTGCAACTAAAGAGGATGTTGAGTATTACAAGAAGTGGGTTAAATCTGATGAGATGGCTATATGTTATATTTTGGAATCTATGTCAAATGTTCTTCAGCACCAACATCAGTCTTACCCCACTACTTGTGAGATCATGGTTTGTGTTACCTGGACTCTCCGGTTCAGGCGAGGGTGTCCGTGTCGACACGACACAACGCCGACACAGAAACAGGATACGGGTTGGACACTTTGTTTTTGAATCGGACACGGCTGATTAGATGGCGATGAAGCTCTCTGTAGTCTTCGATTTGAAAATAGGATGAAACTCTCTGGTCTTCGATTTCAAAATAGGGTTAAGAAAGGTTGAAGGAGGAGTTGTGGAAAGAAGAGACATTTTTTTGTTTATCGTGCCTTGACTTTTTATTCTTTTAAATATATAGCTGATAGTTTTGCTTGAACAAGCCATGTGAACAATGTGAGAAGCTTTGGCCAGATAGCTGTTGCAAGTGGTCCCCAGTACCCACTTTACCAAAAAGAAAAGGACAAAAAAAGAAAGACGGCTGGTGCATTTGGTTCCTCAAATAAAAAGAAAAGACAGCTGGTGCATGGTGGTTAGCTTTTTGGCTATTAATGAAACCCAATACCAACTTTACCAAAAAGAAATACGTTGGGCTTGGCTTTTACCAAAATAGGCTAGATCATCATTTTAATAATAAAAACCTCATTATAATATTATATGTGAATTACATCACTGACCACACACAAATACGTTGGCTGGGCTTTTATTTGTGGTGTTTGGTTTTTAGTCAACTGTCAAATTTAGTTGTCCTGCCTTTGTGCCTATGTATTGTTTTCTCTCTGACGTTGGGCCTTGGCTTTCAGTCCCAAGCTGAATCCAGTTGTAATTACTTCATACTTCCATATTTATATGAAGTGTCCAAGTGCCCGTGTCTAAGCTTTGGACACTTTTATTCCGTGTCCCCGTGTCTTATAATTTGATACATAGATGGATTCGACCTCTAGACACGTACCCGTGTCCGACACCCGTACCCGAGTCTGGGTAACATAGATCATGGTAAACCTTAAGAAGATATTTGGGGAGATGAGCAGGCCTGCCTGAGAATTAGCCATGAAAAACTTGATGAACACCAAGATGGCTGAATGAACTCTAGTTAGGGAACATGTTTTGAAAATGATATCTTACTTAAATGAACATCATTGGAGCTGATCTGGATTGTGAGTCTCAAGCAGATATCAATCTTCAACCGTTGCCTGACTTGTTCAATTATTTTAAATTGAACTGTAACATAAACAAACTGGATTTTACTTGAGTCTAGCTCAACTCATGAATGAGCTTCGGAGGGTATGATGAAGGCTAAGAGCAGTGCTTAACTGACTCAGGCAGGGTCTTCGAGGACCAAGCCCAAGAGGAGGGCTAGGAAACAGAAGAGGGATCCTAAGGAGCCTGATCCAAACAAAGCGGCCAAGAAAGGTAAGGGAAATCAGGTAGATCGGTTGGGCTGCAAGGGAAAGTGTTACCCTTGTTTGGAGAGGGGGCATTGGAAGAGTAACTGTTCAAAGAATCTGACAAAGGAGAAAGGCAAAGGTATATTTGCCATTGAGGCATGTTTTTACAACACAGGTATCCTAGCATTTCCTAACAACAAACACTGTCGCATGGGATGTACATTTTAGTAGTAGGACTCTAGTACACGAACTGCTTAAGGTGTTTGACCATGGAGTTCTTAAGATTTCTAGACTACCAAAATAATGTGGAAATTAATAAAACTAAATTATGCTTCACCAATTTATTTGTTTTAAAATGAGATTTGACTTGTCAATACAAAAAATATTCTTTATTGTTTTATGTGGTTAATTTAGAAAATTCATGAGCTACTCTAGAAGTTCATGAGTTATACTTGAAGTTTATGGTGCCATGATTGTTTAGTGCATAAAGGTTTGCCATGTAAAAATAAAATTTATAGCCTTTCATTCATTAGGATCCTACAAATCTCACGCATTAGTATAACTTGGACGTGTGAGCACTGATAAGATAAAAACCGAATTTAGTGTAAGTACGAAATTTTTTCAATGCCTGACACCTATTTTTTATTTTTACTATTTTTATATATAGGGGAGCTTTATTCAACTCCATTACTGAAAGTCTCAATATTAAACGCACAGTATCACTGCTTAAAAATAGTTGAGTTTTTCATTTCTACAGCTTTAAACCAATTCATCCCTTATCCCTCTCTCTGTCTCACACGCATGCACAAAAAAAAAAAAAAAAAAAAAAAAAAAACTGATGCTGACAATTATTCTAATTTGCGTATTGGTTTGAAGGATATTGCTGTTGCTGATCTTGCGCCAACACACCCCATAAGGTTGGGACTTGCACTCAACTTCTCAGTGTTCTACTATGAGATCCTTAATGCATCAGAGAAAGCCTGTGCCATGGCAAAACAGGTTCGTTCCAGCATGCTTTAGTTTGTCTTGCCAATTGAGTTTTTATGTACATTGCAACAAAGAGATATTTCAATTATTTGGTGTCATTTATACACTTCATGAGATGCTCGGACATTGGTAACGATTAATGGCTTTGGTACCCATTCCAACAGTGTAATGACGATGTCTTCCTAACAACTCCAATAGTTGTATAACCTGTATACAGGAGGGGTCATTGCATGGGTGTATAGTACTAAAAGTTACTGTCAAGCATAATGAATGGATTTCAAGTCTAAGGCAGCCACTTTGTGTATATGATTGCAATGTTTATGTCTATATCTAGTCTGCCCCTTCAACATACTCAGCTGACATCAGTGGACCTTTAGTTTATGCACAGGGTCATTTTAATCTTTTGGCTATAACCATCCTCGCAGAAATGAGAGATTTTATGTGATCCAACAGTCATCCTTCTGTTATGCACAGAGGACTGGATATTTCTTCTGAGATCATGGAAAATTGAGAAATCATGGATCATTTATTTATGAAATGATGCGGCATTCATCATTCATTTTTTTTTTTTTTTTTGTTATCATTGTCTTATTGACGGTGTAATCCTATATACACATCCAATTTGGACATTAATCGAAATACACGTCAATATCATTGATTCAAAATCATCCATGTATAGCAGTGTCCTTGTCTCTAGATTTTGGGGTGATTTCTTGAACCTGACATTTATTATTACTTGTCAAAATAGAAGTGTATGTTAATGATGGGAGCAGTATATATTGCCATAAGGTTGAACAATAATGGCACATTTTAACTAATCGGGAAAGACATGAAACACAAAGTTGGTGTGGTGCTTGATTTGAAAATATATTACATTTACAATCACTGCATTCTTATATTATTTTTGTGTGCAGGCTTTTGAGGAAGCTATTGCTGAGCTCGACACGCTGGGTGAGGAGTCCTACAAGGACAGCACTCTCATCATGCAACTCCTCAGGGACAATCTCACTCTTTGGACTTCGGATATGCAGGTAAGTGCAGACTATTGGTAGATGACATTTTTTTTTAGTGATAGAAAGTGATCCAAAGGAAATAACCTATATAAAACAAACAAGTCCTGGTCTGACCTGCTCATAGAATCTTCATTTACTGTCCAAAAGTTCTCTCCTGGGAAAAGGTTCCATTTATTTGATTTTTGTTCATGATTATATAATTACCCAAATGACCTGCAACTTTCTTTCGCTTCCATAAATAAGGCAAAATTTACAGGGACCAAAATTTACTTGTTCTAGAAGATTTTTACATGTCAATGGCATTAATAATACTCCGACTATCTCAACATGAATGTCAGCAAACATACTCATTCATATTGGAACATCATATAGCATCAGAAAGCACAAATTCACTCTACTCCGAAATCTTAAAAATAAAATCATTACCCAGGAAGTGAAAATCTGAAGTAACAGGAGCATCACCAAAGGAGTGCAAGGATCGGACATGTCCTTCCCCTAAAATTTAGTAATGCCAATGTTTTGGTCTCGACATAAATGAGTTGAAAATAAAACTAAAGAAAAGAAAAAGAAAAAGAAAAAGAAAAAGATAAAGATAAAATTAAAAGGAAGACTTTCCAAGTACCTGTTTCCGATATGTATGAAGGAATCAAATTGATTCCTACTTCAGTCATTGAATTTCTTGTGTTAATTAAGCTCATTTCATGAACCATTTTACTTAACTGATTATAATATGTCTATGGGGATTCCTCTGGCTTGTGAATACTTTTGACATCGGAGGTTCTAAAATTTCGTTTCTCAAGTCTAAGACGCAATCTGTTTGGTTTATGCAGGAGCAAATAGATGAGGTTTGAGCTGACGACCAATCCGCTCCTTGAGGGGGAGGTGGGCTTGAATGTCATAATTCGTATGTAATCTGCATATATTTACCGAACATGTTTTCATATTTTATAGGCTTGTATCTCTGAACGTATTCTGATTCAAACTTTGACTTGGTTTCCGAATACTGATGATTTCAGTGGCTTCCTTGCGGCCTTCAATTAGTATGCAAAAGTTCTATTCAAATTCTAAGGATTAAAAGGAAAAAAGAAAATAAAAACCTAATGTGTGGAATCAACTTTTAAGAGGAATGACTCTACTAAAGTAGATCATTTCACCACCCCTATGCTCTAATCAACTGGAACAATGGTGAAATTATTTTTAGATTGCTTGTTAATTGTTCAACTATGACGCTAGGGGTGGTAATTTTTTAAATTTTAGTATTATTGTTATTATTTTATCCTTTCATGGTATCTGTGTCCTGACACGAGTATCTTGCAGAGTGGCCTGTGGGTGTTTTGTAATTGTCTTTCTCACACGAGAGACTTAGGTTTGAATGACGGATTTGGATCTTCTCCAGTGGAATAGTGCATCCTGTTCCGTTCAGTTTGGAATGCACGTTACAAAAAGGTTGGGATGTTTGTCCCAATCTTTTTGTAAGATGCATTCTACATTCGACGGAATAGGACGCATGATAAGATTTTTTTTCCAGAATGAGTCTCAATGGTGAATTAATTTTTGTTTATTTATTTATGAGAATTGATGATACAAATTCAATTCAACAAAGAGTTGAACAATTTCAATTTCCGAGTAAGGGATGTTTTTAATGACGTTATAATGACGTCATTATATAGATTTGAATGTTACTCCATGATAATGTAAATTATGTAAATTGATATTGCATGATAATTGACCCCTACACATTTCCAGGTTTACATTTCTAGTGTACGGCTTTATTTCATTTTCTTTGTATTTCACTTCTTTTCCTTTTTCTATTTTCAAGTTTCTAATAGGGGCAGGATGGGTAATCTATTATTTTTATTTTTAAGTCCATAATTTTTTTGTTATAAAAAAAATCAGTAAGTTTTTATATTAATCTCCGGTAAGTTTTCAACTCTTGTCACGAGGGTGCTCTTGTAAGAGTAAATACTTTTTTTTTTGTATGTTAATATTTTGGAGGAAATTAATTTCCTAAAAATTTGTCTCTATTTTTTTGAAACTTGCATTAAGTTTTTAAATTTTTTATTCCTAGAATTAATTTAATCTGAAACTAATAGAAGATTACATTAATTTTAGATGTGAAAATTGGCAATAAGGGCAATCTGAAATAACCCGATTTTAAAAATCGCAAAATCTCAATCCAAGTTCTAAGCCAGAGTAAAAAATTTTAAAAATCATTCGAGTTAGTAGTTAGGATTAGAGGTCAGGTTAGGTTTGGATTAGAGTTCAATATTTTATATGTCGAATTGAACGTGAATTCTACCTCAAACCTGCCTAAGTTGTAACCTTATACAGCACCACTTGCTGGGCCTCTCAAGTGCAATGTGACGCAGCCTTCTTCCCACGCGATGCTGTGGTTGTGAGGCGCCATTCGTCCTGAGAAATAATTTTCGCCAAGTAAAACCAGAATAATAAAATTTTTAGATGTTTAGTTGGTTTGATTAATAATTTTATATATTTGCCATGAAAAATAAATAAATAATAAGACACATTCAACCCCTTCAAGTATACAGAAACATCAGATTACACTAAATTAACTAGCCACTTTCACATGACGCAGCACACAAATTTAACTTGAAAGTGTTTTTTGCTTACAACAGTTTGCAGTTATCAGAATAAAAGTCAGTTGCACTCCTACATTTGAGCTAACTTCAAACTTGAGAATCCCGGAACGAGGAAAACACACGTGTAGCTGAGTTTGTACGTATGCACAACCAAATGGTGGGACCAGGTCTACATCGTAAGGGCATGTTGAGCACAATGGCCATATAACAACAAGGGTAGTGCACTCCCAAATAAGCTGATCCCAGATCATGAATAGTAGAGTCTATCATAAAGTTAGTCCCGAACTACCTCTCAGACTAATCAAATACAGAGTAATATCCATCAATAGTTAGTTAAGTGAAATAAAATAAGATACACTCATCATTCAGATAGTTCAACACAACTAAGTAAAATAAGATATAACTAATGATTCTGAACATAAGAATTACAGTCAATAGTGTTTAAAGCATCCATGGTAGATTACAAAACAAAGCACAATATCAACTGCTGAAAGCATACTGCCTCAGCTACTGTATTTCAGTTTCAGGAAGCAAATTCTTTCCAAAAGCATGAAATTGAATATCCTCCACCATGACTGAAATTGATACGGGCGTACAAAAAAAATCACGAACACTTTGTAGAGTTTATATGTTAGTTATATACCTATGAGGTTTTGAACTCAGTGATTTTACACAATGGTTACCTGCAAGGAAAAATTGATGTATATATGAGTGTGTGTATATCTACACACATATATATTGATTATATTAGACACATATACATGTTAAATTGACAACCCCAAATGCAAAAATAAGCTAGGGTTTGGGAAATCAATCACCTGAAGAAGGAAGAAATCGACTTAGTGAGCACTTGAATACTTCATTTGAGTAAATCACCGGGGGAAGAGCCTATCGGAGAAGATTGCTTCAAAATCTCTTTCCTTCCACTTGCACAAATTACATTGAAGCCATGTTTGCAAGCTGAATATGGCGTTTCCAAACAGAGTTTCCGCACAACTTCCAAACACAGTGGGGGACAATTTGTGTGTGTGAAATCGTTTTAAATATATTTGTCCATAGGTTAAATGATTTAGTGGTGGAAAAGAAAAGAAAAGAAATAAATAACAATAGTTATAAGTGAAAATAAAAGAGAAATAAAGACAGTGAATATCATTTAAGTATGGACAGTTGCTTTCTAATTGGTTAAAAAATTAACCACAAAATTATAAATAATATATCTTTTTTATTTGGGCAAAGTACATAACCCCCAGATTTGTAACTTTTTCCAATAAATCATTCTCGTCTAATTTTTTACCAAACAATCCTCCTCGACTTGTAACCCTTTCCAATAAATCTTCCTTGTCCAATTTTTTTACCAAATAAACCCCCCTTCAAATATCTAAAGGGTGTAAAAAGAGTTGATATTTGGATCAAAATGTCCTTTTATTTAAATCTTAATTTTTCTGAACTTCAAAAATTCATATCTCACAAATTGCACATCCAAATATTGCAAGTAATATATGCACGGAAAGCTTATAACACAAAGATTCTAGGAATATAAGATTTGTTTAACAAAACTTCATAACCAGAGAGAAATAGACAATCTAAAAATCTATTGCAATAATTTTATTTTATTTTATTTTTTATAAAATCCTCGGGTTATTTGAAAGAAAATTTTCAAAATTATTCACTTTCATATGGAGCATAACATATAAAAAAAATTAGCCCCAATAGAGACCGAATATTCATTTTTATATTTTTTTAAATGGCGAGTCTACAAAAGAATGAAAATACTTTGACGCAAAATATGATATCTCATGAAATTGATCTCTGTTGGAGTTAAATTTTTTATTTATTCGGCTCCATATGTAAATGAATAATTCTGAAAATTTTCTTCCAAATATCTCCAGTATTTTATTTATTAAAAATAAAATAAGATTATTGGAGTAGAATTTTAGATTTCCTATTTTTCTCTAGTTATGAAGGTTTGTTGTACAAATCTTATATTTTTGGAATCCTTATTTATAAGCTTTCTGTACATATATTATTTATAATTTTTAAATGTACCGGTTTGTGAGATATGAATTTTTGAAGTTCGGGAGAATTAATATTTAAATAAAAGGGCATTTTGGTCCAATTATCAACTCTTTTACCCCCTTCAGATAGTTGAGGGGGGTTCTTTGGTAAAAAATTAGACAAGGGGGATTTATTGGAAAAAAGATACAAGTTGATGGGGTTCTTTGGTAAAAAAATAGATAAGGGAGGTTTACTGAAAAAGGCTACAAGTCGAAGGGGGGTTTTTTGTACTTTGCCCTTTTTATTTTTATGAGATTTTACAACTTAACTTTTTATGACCAAATTACTCTTGAGTACGATAATATGGTTATAAAAAGTTAAATATATCGGTTTCAAAATATCACAATAGTTTTCAGCGTAGAAATTGATCATAAGGTAACCCGAATTAATGCTATTTTTATCCCGAAATCTTAGTTCGAGTTGCAAACCTAAGTTTAAAAATTTAATGATCTATTGGGTTCGGTTACGTAGTTAGGGTTGGAGGCGGGTTAGGGCTGAATTAAGATTAAACCTTTCATATGTTGAATCGAATCCGAGTTGTACCTCAAACTATCCCGAGTTATAGTTCTGTGCAACGGTACTTGTTGGGTCTCTTAAGTGGAGCAAAATCATCTCCTGTGCTACAAGAGAGCCGGTCCTATCCAGTGAGTTAAAATGATAAAGGTTAAAAATTAAAAAAGCAAGACTTTTGTATGTACATACACACATACATACGGACCAAATCAAAACCAGACCAACTTCTAAATCCTTTTTTCTCTCTCTACACTCCTCTTTACACAAACTTTAAAGAAGAGTGATTTCAGAGTATACTCATCAATCTAAAGCAAAATCAGAGCTCTTCCAACCTTCATGACATACGCAACACAAGTATATTGACAGTAAAGAGTGATGCAACTTACGACGTGAATAGATTATAGATACTTTGGGATGTACGTTAGGAAAATAAAATGTTGGGATAGTAGATATGTTCCAATCGGTGAAGATATTTTAGGATGTACATTAGGAAAATGTTGGAATATACGTTAAGAAAATATTGGGATACATGTTATGAAAATGTTGGGATACTGATGAGGAGAAAGTTGGAATGTACATTAGGAAAATGTTGTGATACAAGGCTAACATCCTAACATTTTCTTAACATGTATTCCAAAAAAGAGAAAGAGATGAATAGTGGACCGTGTTCCAATCGGTGAGATGTTTTGGGATGTATGTTAGGAAAATATTGGGATACACGTTAAGAAAATGTTGGGATGCTGGTAAGGAGAAAGTTGGGATATATGTTAGGAAAATATTATGATGCAAGGCCAACGTCCTAACTTTTTCCTAACATGTATCCCAAACAAGAGAAAGAGATGAATAGTGAATATTGGTACAAACTGATATATATATGTATAAAAGGTTTTGTCATGCACGATAAAATTTTTTTACTTAAGATTTGTCATTTTTGTTCCCAGTGATGTGGTACAAGGAGGAACACATATTCCTCACCTAATGGAACTGTCTCTCCTGTAGCGTAAGAGAAGATTTTGTCCCCTCTTAAGTGCAATGTGGACACTGCTTTCTTCCCACATGATGGTTGGGTTGTGGATAAATTCGTTATGAGAAATAATTGTGGCATTTTGGTTCGAGCAACGATATGTGAACTAGAATATATATTTTTGAGCCGTCCATAGGTTATGTTATATTTAAAGAATCGTTGTACTCCACTTAAAAATTTTAGAAGTGTTTTGCATTTCAGAATGTGATTCTCACATCAAACTTATGTAAGAATTATGAGAGGAATGCTCAAGGAATCTTTTTCTCTCTCTACAATCCTCTTTAAATTAGGAAAATATTGTGATGCAAGGCTAACATCCCAACATTTTCTTAACATGTATCCCAAACAAGAGAAAGAGATGAATAGCGGACCGTGTTCCAGCCGCTGAGATACTTTGGGATACACGTTAGGAAAATGTTGGGATGCTGTTAAGGAGAAAATTGGGATATATGTTAGGAAAATATTGTGATGCAAGGCTAACGTTCCAACTTTTTCCTAACATGTATCTCAAACAAGAGAAAGAGATTAATAGTGAATATTAGTACAAATTGATATATATACATCAATACGTGTTTATGTGTGTGTGTATATATATATATATATATGTATGTATGTATGTATAAAATGTTTTGTCATGCACGGTAAAATTTTTTAACTTAAGATTTGTCATTTTTGTTCCCAGTGATGTGGCACAAGGAGGAACACATGTTCCTCAACTAAAGGAACCGGCTCTCCTGTAGCGCAGGAGAAGATTTTGTCCCTTCTTAAGTGCAATGTGGACACAGCCTTCTTCCCACATGATGGTCAGGTTGTGGATAAATTCGTTATGAGAAATAATTGTGGCATTGTGGTTCGAGCAACGACATGTGAGCCGTCCATAGGTTATGTTATATTTAAAGAATTGTTGTACTCTACTTAAAAGTTTTAGAAGTGTTTTGCATTTCAAAATGTGATTCTCACATCCAACTTATGTAAGAATTGTGAGAGGAATGCTCAAGGAATCTTTTTCTCTCGTTACAATCCTCTTTACATCAGAAAAATGTTGTGATGCAAGGCTAATATCCCAACATTTTCTTAACATGTATCCCAAACAAGAGAAAGAGATGAATAGTGGACCATGTTCCAGCCGGTGGGATACTTGGGAATGTATGTTAGGAAAATATTGGGATACATACTAGGAAAATTTTGGGATTGTGGTAAGGAGAGAGTTGGGATATATGTTAAAGAGATGAAAAGTAAATATTGGTACAAACTGATACATATACATCAATATGTGTTTATGTGTGTGTGTGTGTATATATATATATGTATAAAAGGTTTTGTCATGCACGGTTTTTTTAACTTAAGATTTGTCATTTTTGTTCCCAGTGATGTGGCACAAGGAGGAACACATGTTCCTCACCTAATGGAACCGGCTCTCCTGTAGCGCAAGAGAAGATTTTGTTCCCTCTTAAGTGCAATGTGGACACTGCCTTCTTCCCACATGATTGTCGGGTTGTGGATAAATTCGTTATGAGAAATAATTATGGCATTGTGGTTCGAGCGACGACATGTGAACTGGAATTAATATTTTTGAGCCGTTCATAGGTTATGTTATATCTAAAGAATTGTTGTACCCTGCTTAAAAGCTCTAGAAGTAAATGTGATTCTCACATCAAACTTACGTTAGAATTGTGAGAGGAATGCTCAAGGAATCTATAATTTGCGAAAATAAGATATTATTAATGTTTCCGAACAAAAGAATTACAGACTATAGTGTTTAAAGCATTCATGGCCCTCAATGGAAGATTAGAAAACAAAGCACAATATCAACTGTCGCTCAGCATTTGAGGTTCTGGAAGCAAACTGAAATGCAGAACATAATTTGACCCCCACACTTATTTCAAGCTGGTCATGACATCCTTTGCAAAACTCTTGCGCCTATTGCAATCAAATCAAGTCACCCCAAGTCGGCAAGTCTTCGATCCCTTATGTAGCCCCAACAATGTATTGCAAATCTCTGACTGTTGATCCCTAACGGAATGTATTACGAATCTCTTCAAAACATTAGCATTCTTCAAGCAATACCCTACCATTTTCAGTTCGTCATTCGTCCCATAAAAGTTCCTAATTTCAATTACCTTGAGGTGAAACAACAAACAAGATGGCACAATACTTGGTGTATGCCAGCCAAAATGGTGAAGAAGCATCAAAATAAAGCCGCTGAACTTTGGATATTCCTTCAAGAAGTTTCTCTACATTAACTTTTTTCTACAAATCTATCACTGTCTTCTCTTCCTAACAGCAATTCGATGTCCGCTTTGACCAGAGAATTGAAGTTATACATGGAATACCCTCCTGCTGCTACGTAGTCAACGTATTTCAGATATTGAAGATTTGGCGTATTAAACACAACCTTGTAGTTGCAATGAAGGGTACAATCCTCACCAACATCGCCATCAAAAGTCAAACTCTTGAGTGCAAGAGCAGAAATGTTAAGAACATTAATATTTTCCCAACAACATCCCATTATTGCCAAATCCTCAAGCACAGGGCAGCTTGAAACAAGCCTCTCAGTTGAGTAATAATCTGAAAACTCAATTTGTTTAAGATGGAGGATTTTAAGGCTCGGGAGATGGATCAAACTTGGAACATTGAGACCAAAA